CATCAACTGTCTAATTTTACTTTACAATATTACACAACAAATCTACCAAAGCTAGAAATAAATGACACCTTAGAGATTCAGCTTTGGATACCTGTCACTTAGCCATATTTCCTTTCAAAAGAATGGGAGGTTCTTTTCTGTATTGAGAAGCTTTTAGTTAAGTAAAAGTGTGCGTATCATTACCGCTATATTTTCAAAATTGTCATTACTGCTACATACTCATTACTGCTACAAAAAAGGTTACATTACATTACCGCTACATTGCCTCTTTCGTTGGTTAACAGCTTATGCATACAAAGGTTGATTAAAAGTACAAAATAATACATACATTACACAAGTCCTGTTTCCACTGCTCACCACGGGGAGGTGAAAGTAAGACTTGGAGCAGGATGCTTTTTTTCAATTTTTTTTTATTTAGAATCTATTTTATTTAATAAAACATATTAGAAAGTGTTAAAACCGAGCATTGTTCATTGGTAAAAACATCGTCTTTACATAATTGGAAGGGCTTTGAAGGCCATTTGCTTGACGTACTGCTGTCTGGATATCTCTTATAATGAATCATAGTGAATAGAACTTATATCCGATGGCACTGCTAGATGACTCGATATGTAACGGTAATGACTTGTAATCGGCAATAGTCTTATTGATAAAATGTAGCGGTAATGATCACCCAAAGTTTCGAAGAAATGTAGCGGTAATGAGTTGAAATTTTTCGCAATGTAGCGGTAATGTTGACCTTCCAAGTAAAATAGGTTCAATTTTGAATCAGAAAGATTTTCCGGCAAAAAAAGGCAAGAGCTAAGCCCCACCTCCAATTCTATTGTCGTCATTGATCTGTTAGATCTCCATCTCTAAATATAGAGTCCCTGTAGATTAATTACCGATAACCTCTGTGTGGCTAGTGAAGAGTTTCCAAAGTGGTCACAATGATTTATTGCATCTTTCATGAGCAGGCAGTCACAGATCAAATCAGAAGCTTCAGTTACGGATCATTCACATGTGGAAGTGTTTAAGTTTCATTATTGTTAAATAATAAGAAAACCATTTCACAATAAGCAAGAATTTTACACCCATAATATAGCTATGATTAACTTATTTTTCCTAGCTTTAAATCACAAAATTGTTGAAAATCTCAAAAAAAAAAATCCTTTGTGTATCTTTAAGTACAAGAACTTTTATAAAAAAAAAAAAAATAGGTCATTCAACAAAAACAAAAACAAAACTCCTAGTTGAGTTGATCTGTTTGTTTGTTTGTTGGATTATTTATTGTTTAACGTCCCTCTTGAGAATTTTTCACTCATATGGAGACGCCACCACTTGCTGGTAGAGAGCTGCAAACTTTTGACCTATACTCGGCACGCAGGGCCATTAAGCAGTGAGGGATCTTTTTCGTGTTAACACCTACTGCGACACGGGACCTCGGTTTATACGGTCTCATCCGAAGGACCGGTCTCTACGTCCCACAGTGGGATTCGAACCCGCGACGTAAGGATCAACTCCTTACTTCGCGACTCTAGAGCAGATGCTCTAACCACTGCACCAAGCGGGCTGAGTTGATCTGTAATTAGTCAATAAACTCATTATTTATTAGCATACCGAAATCAATTTCTGGAAACATTAATTAATCCATATTTGGAATTAAAGTCTAAGGACCATAGGCTTTGTGTCAATCAATATGAAACCTCTACAAGAATTAATGTCATCAATATCAAAACACATACTAACCAGAAGTATCTGACGAGACTGTAGCTCTACTGGTTTATACTTATAACGAAGGAGGAGAAAAGTAGCATTTGAACTTGAAACTTTGCAACAGCAATAAATTTAAAAAATGATCATTGGTTTAGTCATTTTCTTGGCAAGATTTATTGAAATCAGACTAAAATTGTAGGAGGAGTAGCATATTCAAATTATTTCAAAAAAATTTCTGTCTTTAGTAACCATGGGAACAAGTTCATCGAAATCAAAAATCCAATATAGAGAATTATGCATCTTATAATGTAGTCTACTTCTGTACCAAGTTAAATTGAAATCAGACCAACACTGTAGGAGTAGTAGCATTTTGGAAAAAAAATGTTCACAGGCAGACAGACGGACTGACAGGCAGACGGATGACGGACACCTTACTATCGCATAACCTCTTCTGGCCTTCGGCCAGTAGAGCTAAAAATCAGCTTATTTATTATACGCACAGCAAAAAAAAAAAAAAATGCAAAAAATTATTAAGAATGACTGCGTAGTTTTCCTTTTTACAGTTCCTTCAAAAACATCCTTGAATTTATCCAGGAATGCTTCTTTACTACTCAAAGTGTTAACTCTTGCGAAAGAATTTTTCTCAGCACAAAAGTTCAAACCGAGCACTGTTGAAACATTATCATTCGTTACATAGAAGTATAGATTATAACATTTTTGTGATCGGTTTCGGTCGATCACTTTTATATCATAATAGGCTTCCAGCAAATGGAACTATTTGCGCACACATGTACAAGACGTCATATTATATATACTTTCTTTACTATGCACTGACAGCTTATAGTAAAATTTATAGCATGTTAATTACTTAGGAACCATTTCAAGGTGCCATGGAGTAAGCACCCTATCCGACCTATAACACGCGTCGTGTGAGTCTTGTCATGATCGGGCAAAAAGAAAACATCCGTTAACAGCTCTACATGTAAACGATTATCAAACAATCGGCACGAAAAACGCCAGTCAGCATTCGACTCAATGATAGAATGCACTCACCAACAAGGCCACAGCATCGACTACAGAACTTGCAAAATGAATACATTAAACGAGACTGTTGATATCCTTGATTCATCAGCTTTTTTGTCAATAGCTTACCTCGTTTTAGAAATTGTTCGTACATAGAGCATGCTCTTACGTATCGAACAACTAGGGGAAATAAACCCCATATGCAGGAGACAAGGGAATATTGCTACACATTTAAGGGAAGTTGATAGAAAAATAGAAATCGTCGCGTGTGTTATTATATAAATAGTGCACGTTTTTTAGGGTAACAGTTGAAATTGACACCCCAAGGAAAACCATTGTCAACCGACGCGTCAGCGGAGGTTGACAATGGTTTTCCGAGGGGTGTCAATTTCAACTGTTACCCTCAAAAACGTGCACTATTTATTTTATTATACTGAATGTCTTATTGATTTCGGATGTCAAAAGAAAAATTCGGAGATCGTCGTTAAGTTCACGCTTAGAAAGCTTTCAAACTCCCCGCTTCTATTTTTCTCAATAAGAAAGCTTCGGAAAAGATTTACCAACCTCTTTATTGTTTGTTTGCTATTCAAAAAGTCCTTTATCGTCTAAAGTTTACACTCGCAAGGATGTTTCGTCTGTCGTTTACTGTTTTCAAGTAAGCTACATGTACATCGGATACAAGCTTTTATTGACGTCGTTTATTCGGCTTCTTTCAAACGCACAACTGAAGCTTTGAGAATTTTACGGTGAACCGTACGCGCATGATTTGAACGCATGTGACATTTTCGTAATGTTACCCGTTGTCAAGTATGTTGCTAACGCTGAGGGTAACATTACGGATTGTTAAATGCGTCTAAACCAATCAGATTTTAGTATTTAACATGAAAGTATAATAAAAAGTGTCCTTTTTAGATTACCATTAATATCTTTTTTTCTAGTACAAAATCCAGATATGAAACAGATTTGTCAGATTCTGTATTCCTATGTAAAATTTTGATCGCCAAATGTACCCCCACCCTATACCTAAGCTTTGCTATCCCTGAGGAGATTTTTTAATATTTTTTCATAAATATTTCTCTATCAAACTTTGAATCCCTATTGTAACCCTAATATGCTATCCCTGGGGGACATTATTTTGAACAATTTATAATAAGATATTTAATCTACACTACCTGAGAAAAATTTCACTTCAATTTCAGCTTTTATTGTCCAGTGTTTTTGAGAAGAATATTTTAGTTTTTCGCTAAAAACATTGATTCCCCATAATGACTCCACCTTATCCCAACGGGCCAATTACATGTAAGGACAATTTAGAATCTACACTTCCTCAGTAAGATTCACCTTTTCTGGTCCAGTGGATCTTGAAATTTTTTTTAATGACCCATCTTATTTTTTCCTTCTTCTTGATTATTTCCCTTGCAAGGGGGTTTGTCCCTTCATTTTAACAATTTATAATTTCCATTAGCGAAGGATGCTTTGTACCAAGCTTAAATAAAATTGGCCCAATGGTTCTTGAGAAGAAATGGAAAAATGTACATGCAGGTTGATGTCATTTATACGCACAATGTGGCGTGATTACAAAACACTTCAAAATTTGACTAGCATGAGTTCAATATTGATGCAATATTTTATATTTATTACATGAGGATTTGATGTGTGAATTCTTGTGAATTACAATTTAACCAGAGAATAACAAATGCAGAAATTTTATTCATTTTCTAAATATGTTGAAAAAAATATCATAGAATACATTTTTCGAAAGAAATGTCTACAGTCACATCGACAATTACTCCTATAAACCTCAAGAAGTGGACAACCTAGGTAGAAAAATGTAACATAGATTTTACAAGAACCAATCAGAAAATAACAAATGTTGAAATTTTATTAATTGCTAAATATAATAAAAATAGCATTTTTTTTTTTTCGAAATAATCAAGGAAAAAAACATTTACATACACAGGGACAATTACTCCCATAGCCCCAAAAAGTGGATAAGCTAGGTAAAAAAAGGTAACATATATTTGACAATTGATTTACAAAGTGATTCTACATCCATTATTACCGGCAGTGAATATACAATTCTCATTTTCACAGTGAGATCTTTATCAAACTTAGGTTCCAAGATGTTAGTAGAAACAGTAGAAATATTTCATATGCATTAAATACATAGAGGATATTCAATGTTTTGTACCTGGATATGGAATTTACTTCACGAGTGGGGCAGGATTTTTATATCTTTTCACGAGTGCGAAGCACGAGTGAAAATATAAAAAAAATCCTGTCTCACGAGTGAAATAAATTCCTTATCCAGCTACAAAACATTGAATTTTCTGTTTATTATATTTTCTTTGATTTTCCTTTTGCCTCTGTCTTTTCTCAACACAGTGCCATAGGGTGTGACGTCATAGTTGAGCGGTGGAGACATCGTAGCTTAGCAATTGTGAGATTGAAAACATTTAAACATGGATTTTTAGCAATATATTTGGGAAGAAAGTGGCAGTTTTAGTCTCTATCAAGACGGTTTAGTTACTATCCCTATCTTATGACAGGCCAGAATTTTTTTTTTACTTACTTTGATATCCTTTCACACTGTGAGAGAATATCATTTGGGTATCACTTCACACTGTGAGAGAATATCACTTTTATTCAATAAATAAATCACAGTATTTCACTGTTGAAAATGTACTAAATATAATTAAGTATGATACATCAGCATAATAAATATAGATTATTGCCAAAAGCGACAAAGTAGAATCGCAAATCTGTGTCTGAGAAATGAAATCATGCATCAGATAATTAGGTATGTGCCTGATACTTGCATAAAGATTTGTACTTACAGCTACTCTGAAGCAGTACAATCGGTAGAAACACAGAGCATTGATTCACAACTCCTTTCCTGCACATAATGGATTTCAAAATGAGGGTTCCCTAATAATTGACTTATAGACAGGTTTTACTAGTAAGTACCATATGACCATCGAGAAATCAATTCCATTGAAAACCCAATTTAAAAAAAAAACGAATACGAAAAAAGACAATTTGAATGTACAAATTAAAGTAATGTTGCACAGAAACGCAATGGGGTTTTACATTATAAATGAACAGGGCATTGAAGGGTTTGGACCCAAGCTACAGGCACAGGAATTTCACCATTGTTGTCACCATCCATCATACATACTACATAATAAACATCTGTTGAAATGTCGAACATTAACGAATAAAATTATGAATTAATTCGATGAAGGCTCTGACATTTTAAGGTCAGACGACACGTTCTTCAATAATATATAACCTTTGCCAAAAATTTGTAATTGAAGTTTTGCTACTTTAACAAGTTGCCTCGCAAAAATTTGAGGCACCTTACCAGGCATTTGTGCAAGATACCAGAGGATGGTATTTACTATATAATCCTATTGGAAATCTTTTGATTTACCAATATCACAATATTTTAGTGTTTTTATCTACTTCGACATTTTGAAAACAGTTTAAATCACAAGATGATGATCAATTTCTTGTACAGATATGTAAAGAGATACAAAACGGATATTGAAGTAACGTGTCGGTAGCTTAAGGTAACATATTTCAAAATTTGGCCTCCTCATACATGTATATTTTATTTTGAAATATTTTCATGCCAGGAAAGCTGATCTTCGTATTTTATGGCGATTATTAGCCAAAATCATTTAAAGTTTTGAATTCAGTATAATCAATAAACAAAAAAAGGTTATTTTCTTATCAAACCACACACTGTAATCATTTTATGTTTGTCTTAGAGGTCCGTGTTTGCTCTGCTCCTATTTTGTAATGTTTAATAGACATTTGAGCTCAATACTGTTCATTATCTCCACATATTTCATTGAAATTAGTGTGATCAGCAGACAAACAAAAAATATGATTGTCTTGTCAAATCACAAACTGTTCTAAATCTTGAGCTACATGTAAGTAAACAAATATCAATTCCGGATATCAAATCCTTGAATAAAATCATTCAAATTCCATTGTGGATTCTGTTTCAAGTAAAACATACAATCTTTAGAATTCTTCACATCATTTAATCAGCTTCTGATTTGAACACTATTTTGAATTCTAGCATATTTGTTTTGATCTTCTCCCAAATTTCTTGCATTTTTTCATTTTTTATAGCATCCTCTTCTTCCTTTCTCAAGATCAGTGTTTTAATATCATTAACGGCTATCCAAGTTCTTCTTTCAAGTGAAAGATTCTAATCTTTGGCATATATTTTCAAATGACACTCATTTAATTATTAAAGTCCTACATGCATTAGACCAATTTTGGGCATCATTGCCTGTCGGCTTCAATTTTGCTTTAATTTCTTCACATCTGACTTAACTTCTTGCATATCTGACATTAATTTCTTCAACATTTCATGTTGTTCCTTGTTAACCTTTGCAATAATATCTGAAATAGCATCTTCATCTTTTAAAGTCAGTTTATAAATGCTATTAAGGTAATTCAAGTACTTCTTTCCAGTAAAGGCTTCCAATCTTTGGCAGATATCTGACATCGTCGACCAGGTGTCATCGAATTCTGTCTGAGGGGTGGAGGCTGAGCTCACATGAGCAGTCAAACTGTTTCGGATTAACCTAATTCTCTCAATATCATCACCCACTGTCACCTCTCCTGCTGCAGGCTCTTCTCCCCACTTTCCTTTTGTTGGTTTAGGGATCGTTGAACAAATGTTTCTTATCATCTTGTATGTTAATGAAATATCAAATTCCTTATATCCAGATTTTTTTGCTCTTTTCAAAAGATCCTCTTGATCTGTGTTCAACTTCAGATTCATCCTCTTTTTGTTTGATAATGAATTCACCTTGTTCTCAATATCAGAAGGGGGAACTTCTGATTCTAGAATATCTCTGTATGCCTGATTTAACACATCATTCATTGCCATTCCAAGTTTTGCAAATCTAGATCGGTTCCCAAGGTCTTGTCCAGAGGCCCCTGGAGTACTGGAATCACACACCTTTCTCTGAAATACAGTTAAGCATAGTTATTAGGCCTATAGTAATGAACCAAACTTAGCAGGAAGATAAGAAAAGTGTATAGAGATTATTCTTCACGTAATTAGCGATGCTAGACCAAAAGAAAATTAAGTTTATATGTTTGTTATAGAAAATTGAATGTTGTTACTATTCAACAATTCCTCAATGCCATCACATAAGGGAAATTGATCAGTTTTTGGGTGAACTTGTTTGTCATAGTTCTATATCAGGTCAATAAATCTGAAGCAAACTAGAATATCATTAAGATAGTGACCATCTCAAAGGGCCTTGCTTAAGTAAAGAGAAGAAAAGTAGGAGGTCATGATTTGAACAATTTATAATCTACACTACCCCAGGACGCTTCCACATAAGTTTCAGCTTTTCTGGCCCAGTGATTCTTGAGAAGAAGATTTCCTAGTCACTCCACCCTATTTTTGTCTTTTCTTGATTATCTCCCCTTGTAAGGGGGCTTTGCCCTTCACTTAAACAATTCCGAATGAAACTCCCCTTCACCCAAGGATGCTTTGTACCAACTTTGGAAAAATCCTGCACAGTTGTTTTTGAGAAGAAGTTGAAAATGTAAAAGTTTACAGACGGACGGTCGACGGACAACGGGTGATCAGAAAAGCTCACTTGAGATTTCAGCTCAGGTAAGCTAAAAAATGACATTCTATATTCAAAAGATTTTGTCTGCTAGAGGGTAAATCTTAATACTGTTCACAACGGTATATAATTAAAACAGAAACATGACATGTTTTAGAAACACATACACTCCTTGTATGGCATTCTGAATAAAACCTTGACATTTAGCCCTAAGAACCATCATATGGACTGAAGACAATGTTCAATCTTCTGTTCCTCTAATTAGCAAATAACAAAAATTAAGCCTCTTTCTATTTATCTTACATTTATCACTGACATCGGCCAATTATTTAATAGAAAACATTCAGACATGTTCAGATGACAGGAAACTGTAAAGAAACATACTTGAAAAGAATAATAGAAATAATATTGTACTCAGACTTGCAAAATCCCTCGAACCTGAATATGGGGGGGGGGGGGAGGGGGGAATTTGCAATTTTGGTAAAAGTATGAGAACCTGTGTAACTCTTGAAAACAGTTCATCTAAGGGATATACATCAGTAAAAAAATCCAACATTTGAAGGATTTAATGCAATTGCAATGTATGACCAATTTAACACCAAACAGGAGTCTGAATTCCATAGTCATAAAGGAGTCTGTATGCTATAGTCATAGAAAATCATATCATACTTATATTTTGCAATACCCTGTGACTCGAACTATGGGACGGGGGTGAAGGGGGGATGGGGGGAATACATTTCACAATTTTGGTTAAAGACTGAAAACTTCTTAAACTCATGCAAGTATTTCCTGTACAGAATGCATATCAGCAAAGCAGATTTTTATAAAATATAATGCATTTCAATAATGGATCAACTTAAATCCGTGTAGTGACCATGAATTTAACAACTTCAGCAAAGGTTTCATTGCATATTATAATCATATTACAAAAAGCTGTTCAGGCCCCGGGATCATGAAAGATCTTAAGCTTAAGTCAAAATCTTTATATTGTACTACAATGTTGTAGAAGTCAAACAGACCAAAACAAAAATATTTTTCTATATTGCATCACCAGAGAGCTGTATCTGCTAATTCAGAGCTTAAGTTGACAATTTATAAACATCTTACAGGTGACTGAAAATCTGACTTAAGTCTATGTCTGTTTCATGATCCTGGGGCCAGGACTACAGATCTTTGGCTTTATACGTATAGGACTTATATACTAAATTTAACTACGAGCTCGCGCACGTGGCCAAATAGTAAGAGTATTTGTTCTAGACTAGACTCCTGGAGAAATGAGCCGATCTTTACGTCGCTTTTGTGAATCCACTGCGGGACTTGGAGACGGCTCCTTTGGATGAGACCGTATAAACCCAGGTCCCGTGTCGCAGTGGGAGTTGGAATAAAAAGGATGCCTTACTGCTCAATGGCCCAGCACGTCGTGGCTTCTCCATATGAGTGAAAAATTCTCGAGAGGGATGTTAACACAACAAGCGAACAAACAAATTATTCCATCTACCTGCTCAATACATGGGGCACAGGGTGGGTGTGACAAGGCGATAGTGGCTGCTAACTCCTCCTAGGCACCTGATCTCACAGCTGGGATTTTCGGGGGCCATGTTTTATTTCCTTTCACAGATTCGTATTATTTGTTAGCTTTCTTTTTCTTTAGATCTATCACTGTTCGTTATCTTCACCTTTTTCACTAAAAGAAAGAAAACTGCATTAATGAATATTCCGTCTTGATCAATACATAGGGCTCACAGCGGGTGTGACCATTCGATAAGGGCTGCTAAGTGCTAACTCCTCCTAGACACCTGATTTCGCCTCTGGAATTTCCAGGAATGGATTTGAACTCAAGCCTCCAGGCCTCGGAGGTACAGACCAAGAATTTGACAATCTTTGTAACCCTGCATGTAATATTTCAAAATTGAGTCAGTTGCTCTTGAAAAGAAGCTGAAAATGTTCAAAAGTTAACAGAAAACAACTCGGAGGCAGAGTCCAAAAGCTTCACAATCTTTGTTAACATACATGTGTAAATTATAAAAATTTGTTCAGCCATTCTTGAGAAGAAGCTGAAAATGTTCAAAGATAACAGACAAAGCATTGTGTTTAACAAAAGCAGATAACAAAAGGTCTGAGTGACTCATGTTCCCTTTAAATGGTTTGTTCGGAAAGGAACTGTGGGCCTTCATCAAGATCATGACACAACTTTAGGTCATGAGCAATCTTAGCAAGCTCGGAATATATTATCCATTTGAAAGATTATGAATCACCTTTAAGCTATAAGCAATATTTGCGTCAATTGTTTTCTTCCGATGTTTCTCCATTAGAAGATATAGCTTGGACAGTAATTGAAATATTTTTTTTTTCAAATTGGTCAAAAGACCTTGGGTTAAGATCATGACACATCTGTAGGTAATTAACAATCTTTGTACGAATTATGAACCTCAATGTCTCAATGAAACATTTATTGACTGGACATGAATGTTAGATTTTTTCGTACCAGTCAGTGACCTTTTTCCCAAATGGTATCTGGTCAAAATCAAGTCATGATGATACCCTCAAGTGTGATCTTACAATGATTTTCCACAAAGTTTTAGCCCAGACATAAATGCAGACAAACCAACAAAAAGACGGACAAGATAATCCTTACATACCTCTTAATGTTAATTTTTGTTTGCTGAGGAATTTAATTTAGTAATTGTTACCTTTTCCCAGAAACTCAGAGTCCTTTGTACACTTATCACGTGTTTCTCCTTCAGTCGACACTTGCACTGAATGTCTTTATCAGTTTTAATATTGGAGAGCTCGCTTGCAAGGGTGAAAGAAAGATCTTCTTCATTACAAATAACGTTTTGACATTTGAATCCTCTGTGGAATATTTTTGTACCGATAAATGTTTCTGTCAGTTTTTCTATGGCTTTTTCAACGGATTCTCCAATTTCATTAGATACGTCCTTGTCTATAGTCAATGGTGTGATTCTCAATACTTGCAACTGGATATCGTCATTAGATATGCCAATAACAACAGTGTGTTCATTGTGATCAAACACTGCTGCTGTTTGATAAAGACAAGGACTCCCTTCATTGTCTTCGTCTATTGAAGCACTCCATCTTAGAAAACTCATGCAGTATGCTACCAGTCTGTAGAACACAAACATGGCAAAAGAAGTGAACCGAAAGCACAAAATGGAGGAGCATTCCCATTTTTCTTCACAAAAGTTAGCTTTAAACTGCTTTTTGTTCATACATGGGACATACCATGACATGCCACCTTCTGATACAGCCTCAAAAGAGTCCAAAGCTACAAGCATTTGAAGCTTCTCCATGTAAGACATAATTTCACTTTTGTGTTTCAAGTATGAAGGTTCATCTTTCCAAAGTGCATCTATTACTTTATCTTTAAGTTCTCCCGTTTTATTGAAGGATTTCCATTCCTTGATTAAATTTGTTTTGCAGTCTTTATTGATATGGTTTTCATCAGCAATAATCTTGCTGAAAGCTTTAGCAAACCACTGAATGTCAAGCACTGCATTTTCCCTCAATTTCTCTTCTTCAAAATACAAAAGAAGGCCATTGTCATGGAAACACTTTAAAAACATAGACATTTCCTCATCACTTTTAATTTGGTATTCATGGGGAAGGGATAAGTTGAGCTTCCAGATTTCACTAAGGGACAAAACCTTCCATGCTCCTTCATACAATAACTGTTCCATTAAAGCCCATGAAGAAGGCATTTCAATTTTAGTATTTATCTCATCTTTGAACAGTTCAACTATGGACATTTTCATTGACTCCAGCATTTTTTTCGAGTTGTCATTTAGTTCATCTAGACCCACTGCATATTCACGATCATTGAGAGAATCTCTTAACCAATCTCTGTCCTCATCTGGAACTGCTTCCCAAAACTCCCCAAAATACTTCTTAATTTCCTGAAAAGGTAAATAAAATCATGAAAAAAGAATACATGAGGCCTAAGGGCCACAACACCCACCTGAATCTCACTGACATTCCTGTTGTTTATTACAATATTTTAAAAACTCCCATCTCTTTTCTCAAGAAAAATTATAATTGATTGAATCCAAACAACAATTTCCATATATTTCCATTTCTATTTTTTTCTCTGTGATAACTCTTTGAAAGTTAGTTGAGTTGATTTCTTGATCATTCGTTGATGCCCAGGCATTTTCTACTAACTAGACAGTGATTCCTTAAATAATTGCAAAATAGTGTGGCTCTTGTATTTGAAAAAAAAATTCTCATAAAATTCCTTTTAAAATATTGATCCCTTATTGTACCCAACCTGAACTCCTAGAGCCATAATTTGATAAACAAAAGGCCCATGGGCCACAATGCTTAAAGAGTAACTATGGCCCTTCTGTTTTTTATCAGCAGTTACTATAGTTAAATTATGTTGAACAATATTTTTTTCTTTGTTCGTTTGATTGTTTTTTTTAAGGAATATTCTACATTTTGGTACTCTTGTATCACATATCACAGCCCCACTGTTCTTGAAAAGAAAAAGATTTTAAACATTGTTTTAATATATGCAAACCCATGTAAAATTTCATCACTTACTGTAGCCCCATCTTACCCCATGGGGTCACTATTTGAACAAACTTGTTTCTAAGGATGATATCACTAATCAATTAATCCAGGTTAATTAAAAAATGTTTATTTTCATGTACACTGTATATGCGGTCTTATTTAGAGGGTCCTAGGTCTTCCAATTGTTCAACTGCAAACAGATGAAAGCATCAGCATATCAATGGAATCTTGGATTAACTTCAAGAGTGGTTTTTTTAATAGCTTTAATTTCAAATTATGAAAATAACATTAATTAAATCATAACGAAACCTTATACATAACGTAATTTATCAATATATTTTCATTAACCTGTGAACTACAAGGTCACTGGCTGGCATTCGTACTCGTTGACCTTGGGAAAAATTATGTGGAAGTCTGGCCCTTTGTCTCTCATTATTTTTACTATCCACTGCTTACGTAGAGCTAAGTCTTTAAGAAAAAGATGGGAGGACAAAGAAAAATCTTGTCCATTGTCCCCATTACCAGGGAACACAACAGTGGGATACCGAACTCTGCATTCTTTTAACAGATGCGCTAGATGCCATGCTGCTGCAGTCGCGTTATGTACGCCAAGCCTCGTTTTGAAAACAGGAATTTTGCATGGTCGCGTGAATAGAGCATGTTTTCACTTCTCTTATTTAACAACCTTTAACTAACTACTTTTACCCAAGAATGCTTTGTAGTAAGTTTGGTTGGAATTGGCCAAGTAGTTCTGGAGAAGATAAAAATGTGAAAAGTTAATGATGATGACAACAATGCTTAAAGACAAAGGACAAATTTTGATCAGAAAAGGTCATTCTTTGGCTCAAATGAACTTAAAATACAACTCTGTGCTAAGTTGAATATTTAGATTTGAAAATGTATAATTTCAGTTTAAACATTTGTACTCAATTTTTGTTTTACAATCGAAATCAGAAAAAAAGAATAAAGTAAAACATGCTTGTAACAAAGTGCCAGGGATGGTTGATTTTGTTTCATAATTATATAATTTCTTATATCCATTAACTTAAAAATATATTTTAAAGCCACTGGGAATGAAAATAACTTTGCTGTGAGTGTCTATTCATTATAAACATGTGTTTGCTATAAGTTTGTTTTACTGTAAATTTACCTTTACACTCTCACGATTTGTTAATGATCTGTTAATTTCTCCTAATTTACATTCAAATTGAATTACCTCTGCTAGCATAAATACTTACAGCTGTAGATTTTCTTTCTGTGTGTGTGACAACAAGAAACAGTGGTGCCTTTTTGCCTCCAAATGTCTTGATTGAGGTAATCCAAAACTTCAGGTAGTCTACAAAAACAAATAGAGCATCATAATAAAATAAAACAGGCAGATGTCTCTGACGAGAGTGTAGCTCTTCTGATTGTACTTACAAACAGTGGGAAGATAAAGTTGTACAGTGAGTTAAACTTTTTTTTTTTGGTTATACAGGTATAAAATTATCTGTTTCATATTTGGATATTTTACTTGAAAAAGGAATGGTAATCTAACAACCAAGCTTAATGATAAATGTGATGACTTTAACTTTTCAATCGTCAACTTCCCTTACTTATGCAGCAATATACCTTCATCACCTGCATACAGGGTTTATATCTCTCAGTTGATTCGATACGCAAGAGCATGCTCTACGTATATACAACTTCTAAAACGAGGTAAATTATTGACAAACAAGTTGATGAAACAAGAATATCAGCAGTGTCGTTTAAAGTCATCATTTCATAAGTTCTATGGTTGATACAATGACCTTGTCAGCAAATACAATTTATCTTTGAGTCAAATGCTGACAGACTTTTTTTTCTCATACTAATTGTTAGACCATTATTTACACACTGAATTGACGGCAGATTTTTCCGTTATTTCCCGAATATGACAAGGAGCACACGGCGGGTGTGACCGGTCGGCAGGGGATGCTCACTCCTCCATGGCACCTGATCCCACCTCTGATGTTTTGGAGGTCCGTGTTTGCTCTGTTCCTATTTTGTATTGTTTAATGGACTTTTGAGTTTGAATACCGTTTGTTATCTTCATATATTTCATTATACAGGTATATAATTATATGTCTAGTTGTTTTTAAAGATTCTCCAACAAATTTATTCAAATCAAGCAAAAATTTTCGGAAACAGCTTTTTGAACGCATTCTTCTAACTTCAGTAACTAGAGCAGCACTTTACCTTGACATTAAAAACGGACTGCACAAAAGTGTATCGTAATGTAGCATTCTTGTGTACAGGTACATGTACCAACTTTAATGATAGAAAATTAAATAATAAGGAATGAATTTAATAGCTACCCAAAGTTAATACTGTGTAACCTGGGTTGAGATAGTAAAGCTTTATTAACCGTGAAGCGGTTTATAAAAATAAAAATAAAAAAAATTAAGTGTTCAAACCCAGGTTATACCAGTATTACTTTAATATTTATTAAAATCATCCCTTAAACTGTAAAATCACATATTTTCGTGGTTTGAAGAAAAAATATGGGCTTGTGGGGATTTAATTTTAATTTGTGGATGAAGAATTGTTGAGTAGATATGCATATGACATTTTACATTTTGTGGTGGACATGAATTCTTGGATCTCTTCATACCTCGAAAACAACAAAAAATAAACCTCCAAGAAAATGAGTGATTTCTCAATAATTTAATTTTCTATCATTCAATGTAAAAAAAATAAAATAATTTCCCCATCAAAAATGCCTTCAATTTGTAGAAAGAGGAGTGATGCAATTTTGAATAAGGTCATTTTCACATAGGAAACACAGGCTATACAATATAATTTTTTTTTATCCAATCAAACGGCGTGTTATAACCATAACTAAATTATGACTAATCAAGGTTTTTGCTGAACTTGAAAATTTTTTTTAAAACATTCCCTTATGCCCATTGTGGCCCCACCCTATCTCTGCTGGTTATGATTTGAACAAGTTTTACATTTCACTAACACGAGGTAAGGAGTTGATCCTTACATCGCTGCTTCGAATCCCACTGTGGGACGTGGAGACTGGTCCTTCGGATGAGACCGTATAAACCGAGGTCCTGTGTCGCAGTAGGTGCTGGCATGATAAAGATCCCTCACTGCTCAATGGCTGTAAGTGCCGAGCATAGGACAAAATTTGCAGCTCTCCATCGGCAAATGGTGGCGTCTCCATATGAGTGAAAAATTCTCGAGAGGGACGTTAAACAACATACAAACAAACAAACATTTCACTAACTAAAATGCTTTAACATGTTTAATCTTTTATGGTCCAGTGCTTTTTGAAATTTTAAAAAGATCTCATTAAGATCTCACTTATTTTAATTATCTCCCCTTAAAAGAGAGTGAAGCCCTTCATTACAACATGATTAAGATAATGACAGACAAATTTTGATAAGAAAGCTCACATGAGCCTAATGCTTAGGTGAGCTAAACACTGATTGAGTTACTGTGTTATGATGTATAAATATAAACACTCAGGCGTAAACATATGACCCTCACATTTCTACGAGCTACCTGCTACAATTAAGCACTTCTTTAGCCTGCTGGCCAGAGTGTGTGTTACAAAATTATAATCTCACCTTCATTAATGCCAGCCAAAAAGACATAAACTTGATATCACAACATCATGTCTTATCTTTGTAAGTCTTGATATCACTACATCATGTCTTACCTTTGTAAGTCAATATCACAATGTCATGTCTTATCTTTGTAAGTCTTGATGTCACTACATCATGTCTTACCTTTGTAAGTCAATATCATGACATCCTGTCTTACCTTTGTAAGTCTTGATGTCACTACATCATGTCTTACCTTTGTAAGTCAATATCATGACATCCTGTTTTACCTTTGTAAGTCTTGATATCACTACATCATGTCTTACCTTTGTACGTCTTGATATCATGACATCATGTCTTACCTTTGTAAGTCTTGATATCACGACAACATGTCTTACCTTTGTAAGTCTTGATATATTGACATCATATTTTACCTACGTAAGTCTTCATATCATGACATCATGTCGTACCTTTGTATGTCCACACAGAGAAGATTGATCCTTCTTGATTATCTTTCTCTTGACTGACAACATCTTCAAACATCTTAGTCATGTCCAACACAAGGATGAAGAAAGCCTTTGGTGTTACGTAAATTTGGTGGCAGGCATAATACGCTAACTGTCCAGCAAAATCCAGCATGCTTACTGTTGGTAACTTTTCTTTTTCAGACAAGATTTTCTGAAAAATTTCATCCTTCACCATTGCTTGAGCTTCTGAGGAGAGAATATTGGCCATTGTCTCTACTGTAGTCTCTTCTTCTGTGTCCTCAGTTGGTGAACTAGACATTTCCATATTATCTCCTTTCTTTTCTTCTTTGTCTTCAGTTTGAGAACTGGACAACTCAATATTTCTTTCTTTCTTTTCTTCTCTGCTATAAATTACTTCATTGTTTTTATCAGTATTTCCTCGTTCCAAATTGTCACATTTTTCATTTGTAGCAGAGACAGAAACTTCACTGCTCGGGTCTGGTTTCAAATCTGCAGCATTTATCCTGATAAATGTCTTTAAGGGTGAGTCATCATCAGCCACTGTAAAAAAGGAATTTTGTTATTTAGTTAAGGATTTCCTTTTAAAGCACATCATTTAATGGCTATATATCTCTTTTATCAAAACTGAGGATTGACAACAAACATTTTACCGATTGTATCATATATATATATATATATATATATATATATATATATATATATATATATATATATATATATATATATATTGATTGATTGTATGTTGTTTTACATCCCATTCGAGAATTTTTCACTCATATAGAGACGTCACCATATACCGGTGAAGGGCTTCAAATTTTGACCTTTACTCGACACTCAGGGCCATTGAGCAGTGAGGGATCTTTATCATGCAAACTCCTGCCTTGACACGGGGCCTCGGTTTTTTAAAGTCTCATCTCAAGGACCCGCAACTTTCACTTCAAAGTGCCGAGCGCATGGTGAAGGAACAGTTGCTACCATTTTTTATCGACTTAGCTCAGTCGAGGCCGAGATTTGAACTCAAGACCTCCTGATCACGGAGCGAGCGCTCTACCAACTGAGCTAACATGAATGGTATATATATATATATATATATATATATATATATATATATATCTATATCTATATATATATCTGTATATATATCTATATATATGTTAGGGATGGCAATCGAATACAGGATTGCCATTCAGTTAACCGCAAGACGTTCCGACCGATTAATCGGTTAATCGTATCACAAATTCTCCTTATATTTCATGTCAAGCTCTGCGAAAATAAACAAAGCTATAAATATGTTAAATGTAGAAATATTATGTTGACTTATCAGAACACTATTTATATCTTATTTCAATTTAAGAAGGAAAAAGGAAAGAAAAATAAAGATACCCGGTAGACATGCAAGTCTCAGAAACATTAAAAAAATCATAAGAGATGTCACACAAGGTCATTCTGTATTGTCACAATACTAGTAATCAAAACTAAGTCTAAACTCTCACTTAATTTACAATGTTTGTTTATAATAATATAATTTAATGGGTATAACTGAAAAGGATAGAAGAGGTACAGTATACATAATCAGTTCACACTGCTGAATAATCATTTAATTAAAATCATTTAAGAAACACAGGACAGGCTGGGTAACAGAATGGTGTTTAAACAACATGCAATTAACAGCTCAAAATCTGACCAATTATCCCAACGATGTCAATCCGGAGCCCTAATTATTTCCAAATCACCTTAAATTGAAAGTCGAAAATGCAAACATTTCAGATATTTGTGTTTTTTTAATTGAATTTTTAGGAAATTGTGTTCAAATTTAAACAAATTAAAAGTTCCAAAATAATTGCTTCTTTATAAAAATATTTAAAATTGTGAATATCAGGGAATCCATTTCACATTTGAAGTACAATAAAGAGAATACATGAGAAGGAATTATTGCCCTTAGCAACATTTTTAAAGATTGAATAATTGATTAAATGAAGAAAATATGTATTTTTTTAAATTCTTTTACTTCACAATATTTTTCATTACACCAATTGAAAGGCATTCGTTCAAAAGATATTATTCTATTGGGTATAAGTTTAAATGAATAACAGTTTTTGCAAAAACCTATGACATCACAGGAGGATACCTTAAGTTATTGCAGATCCTAAAACATGCATGTAGATATACAGTTAAACATGCTTATGATGAAGTGCCAGGGACGGATAATTTCACTTTGTTATAAGGCGTAATAATTCACTATACCTGTTAAGTTTACAATATATTTTTAAGTCATGGGGAATGAAAATCACTTTACTGTAAGGTAAAGGATTAATTGTTTAAACGTCCAAATCAGGTCCACCAATAATTTACAAAAAATTAAATTAAAGATTTTCTACATATTTTTGCCTCAATCTTTCCATCAAACATTGTAGTTTATTAATTTCAATTTCAGTTTTTACTTCCTTGCGCTGTAATTAGGTATTTATCTGATTAATATAGCAGGGGTGTGTTGTTTACATCGATTTCTCATAGACTTTAGGCCACACCCCCATTTTGCAAGCCCATTTTTATATGAGCGCATGGATGTTTCAAGTTGTCGTAAATACGGTCAATTTAAAGAGTAAACTTATACTAGCCATTTACATTCATGAAAGAAATTGAAACAGTTTTGCGCTCATTTGTTATTTTCCAATAAGGTGCAAAATCACGGTTGCTTGTCTCCACAGTAAAGGCACCCTGTTTACAAATTCCAACCTGTCTTTGACCTCATGAATAACAAAGCACTGAACACGTGCCTCAAATCTATTCACTTCATTGTCTCTAGTGTCTGCGAGCTATCGATGGTGAAATCATTTTTCAAATGGGTAATTAAAATTCTGGGAGAAAACTTTTTTTTATGATTAAGATGTGTTAATATTTTCAGTTGATTTTGTTTGATTTTTTTTTTTCGGTTTCTATCAATTTATATTGATGTCCTGTAGCATATAGGTTGCACTCACTGCTTGCGTCTCATAAATACAGAATTTTAAAACTTAAATTACTGTGGGTATATTTTATACATTTGCCATTGTTCCTAAATATACACCAGTGCTTCTTTCATTGACTTGGAAGATATGAAAGATTTTTTCAGTTAAAACTGTCATTAATTTTATAGTCCGTTATTTGAAAAACACCAATTCATCATATCTTTAGAAAAATAAATTGTTTGTTACAAGTGCACAAATGCATGCTTCCAAAAGAAGAAACCTTCATGGAAAGAAACTGAAGTACGGAGCGCTAAAAAAAAAACCTGTGTATCTGATGAAAAGTCACTGGATGAATACATTTGCACAAAAAGCACCCCTAATTTGAATAGAAGGAAGCTTCAGGTTTCTTCTGAAGCAAATGCTATAACCTTTTACATTGGCACAAAATTTCAGATTTTTTTTTTTTTTTTTTTTTTGGCAGATCATGTGATAGAGAGTCAATGTTCGCAGGTATTTTTAAAGCATAATGTTTAAAAGCAAGAACATGCATTTGTATGACCCTTTCATATGTCCAATCTAGATATTAGTAAAAAAAAAAAATCAGTCGAATGAAAAAGGGCATTAAAAATACCTTGGAGTGATTTATTATTTATCTTACTACAGGAAGAGGGTTTGTTAAAATCCAAAATTAGAAGGAGTGGATTTTGACAATTAATGAATTCCTAAATGAGGAAGATCATATTAACTTGTCTGGCATGAATAAACAGGATTTTTTGAAGCAATGCAATTTGGACTGTACAAAGTACACTGACACGGATGTTTCTTTATCCACCAGCGATGATACTGACGTTTAATTGATGTTTAAATTTTCGATTTCTTAACTATTTATTTTTTATACACCGAGTGTAGTTTTTTTATCATAATTCAACCGCCAACGTGTATTTGCTGTAGTACTCGGATTTTGCAAAATTATATATAATTATGCAGTAAGTATGAAAAATTTCTAATTATGTACGTAATAAGCTTAATTGGATTAACTACCTCTTTTTTTTAAAAAAAAAAAGGTTTCTTTAAAGTGTGAAAAATAGTGTATCCTTTGTTATACGTTCTGTTTCCAAATTCCATTGTGTATTTAATATATAAATAATTTAACGAATTGCAAGTAAATCATTTCAAATACGACTCATAAGTTAAGCAGAAAAGAAATCAAAGATATGCCAGCCAAATTAAAAATGTATCCTTATATTTTGTCGGTCTCTAGCATGAAAAAGGCTTTTTAGGTGTCAGTTAATCATAAAACTTAGTACACCTCGAACACGTACACGCTAATGTATTCATACTAATTGCACTAACCGCCTTCACATTTAAATAATACAATGACCTACATAGCTGTAATGGCGAAACAGGGATTTTACAATGAAGTATACGATTTTATTTAATCGATATAATGTATATATTGAAAGTCTCTTTCCACAAAAAATCTTTTATGAGTATCTTTACAGACTACGCTTGAAGACTTTAGCAATAACATAACAATGTTCTGATTTGAAAAGGTAAAACTCTGCATTTAAAAAGGGGCGACAAAGCAGTGTTATGAGGATTCATTCTTTATTATAATCAAGTTTCCAATAAGCATGTTTTATTGTATATTAATAATTATGTATACTGTCCTCACATTGATAGAGAGGTGAAATCAAATGGTGTGTTCAACGCACATGTACATGCAGAAATGCAAAATTCAACCTGCATTTTCATAATTTCTACATATATTTAGATTTGTTTTCATGTTCCGTCATGGATCATAGAATGATGAAGTAATTTTGGTTACATGGTAAGCTTAATATTATGGTGTTTTTTCACGGGTTCGCTACAATAATAATTCTCACTAAAAATCAAACAAGGAGGATCCGGAGCAAAGCTGTGGATGAAATCAATTTTTGTGGAAATCTTTGCAAATAACACACACACCTGCATGACAACAGCCAACAAAGAAAGCAATGTGTCATTAGAGTGACTAAGATGACCTTAAAAGTCCAAATTTGTCGGGATAAAATGATACATGTATTTATGAAATTATAAATTCTAATAATTTAATTAATTGGCAATCAAAGTCAAAAATACACAAGTGGTGTGAGATTTGGAATAGGTTTGATAAATTGACTAATAGTTTTAGATCACATGGGAAATACCTCTGCGAGATAAGATTTTCAAAATAATCGACACACAGGGCACCTGCATGTAAAACTTCATTAAATCTCCTGTTGTGGTCCAGCCGTCCCCAGGGGGAAGGGTGTGTCATGATTTTATCAAATCTTAATTTACATTACCTGACGATACTTCCTTGTGAATGTGACAAATCATAGCTTTGTTATTCTAGGGAAGAAGAGTTTTAAAGATTAAACCAATATATTCTGAAGTTAAACTTTGATTGCCCATCCTATCCCACCCTAATCATGGGGGTCATGACTTCAACAAAATTGAATCTACACTATGTCAGCAAGCTTTTGTATAGGTTTTATCTTTTCTACCCCTGTGGTTCTTTGGGTTTTTATATGACCCCACAAATTTTTCACTATTTCTTAACCTCCCCTTAGAAGTGGGTGAGGCCCTTCATTTGAACAAACTTGAATCCCCTTTCCCCAAGGATACTCTGTGCCAAGTTTGGCCCAGTGGTTCTGGAGAAGAAGATGAAATTGTGAAAGTTAACAACGATGACAACAACAGACAATGGACAAAGGACAAGATAGGCTAAGACCCCTTTTTGGCCCCAGGTTTGGGGTGTCTTTTAGAATGATGCAACAGTTTATCAATAAAAATATGTTGTTCCCCCTGGCCCAATATGAGTATTGTTCCAAGTTATGGCATACACAGAGGTCATAGGAAGGTCAGAAAATACATGTATGTCAATTTCCGAATTTTCTCATTTTTTATGCAAATTTTCATCAATTTTACAGCACATTTTGTTTCAGAAAACATAGAGCACAAGCTTGCCTATCTACCAAATTTATATATTTCATACACTTGCATCAGATGCATATTGTGTATAAAAATCTCAGATGGGCAATCTTGTGCTCTATGTTTCCCAAAGTGAAAAGTATCTCAAATTTGACGAAATTCCACCATAATTGAGGAAATTCGGGGAAATTTCTCACTTGTGCACCTTCTTGTGTCCTCCGTGTAAGCTTTGAATCAAAATTAGTCCTGGTTTTAAAACAAGCATCATTTTAAGTTCTTCGCTACAAACTATCACAGTTTTAACTGTGTTCTGATAATAAGGGGCCAGATTTGGCAGTTACCATACCTTGTCCTTTCAATCAGAAAAGCTCACTTGAGCCTTGGGTTTGAATCTAAACTACGTGAAGATGATTCCATATGAGATTCACCTTACCTGGCCCATTGGTTCTTGAGAAGATGATTTTTAAAAGATGCCATAAATTTTTCACTATTTTGTAATTATCTCCTTGTAACTTTAACCTAGTCACTCATCCGGAAAATGTAGGTCAGAACCAGCATCTGTAGACTAGTAAGTCCAGTAGTACATGAATGCATCCTTAGATGTACCAATATTCTTAGATGGTCAATATAGGCCTTATAGTTACTTGGAAATGAGACCTAGCTGCTCCAAAAACTTTAACCTGTTTACTCATCTGGAAAATGTAGGTCAGATCCAGGAACCGAAGCAAGTCTGGTAGTGTGTATCCTCAGATGTATCATCCATGCAAGTTATACTGGTAGTTACTTGGAAAGGAGACCTACTCAAAAAACTTCAACTGCTCCAAAAACTTAAACCTGCTCAAAAACATTAACCTGGTCATTCCTTAGCTGAAATTGCAGCATCTGAAATCTTAGCTGGTACAATGAAACATACTAGAAGCATCTTCCATGCATATCTCTGATTAATGTAGCCCCCCCCCCCCTTACTTTGTTGCTTATTATGTTATGTTCATCTTCACATGACCTTCCAGGTGAACATAAAGGCTTATATTTCTTACAGGGTTCTCCACAAGGGGTTTTACCTTGGTAGCCCGCCATGGTTAAATTTATTTACGCCACGGTTAAACGAGCTGTGTCAAGATCAAAATGGGCTGCCGCCATGATTAAATTTTTATCGCATTTCAGTAATGACACCTACTTTTTAATGACTTGAGTAGTTAATTGTGTTTATAATACGACTGTCATGCACCTCGAGAGAAAGCTATGAATATGTATCAGAAATTATTTTTACCTTCTAACATTCCATCTTTAACAATGAAGAGATGCTGATGGACTTCCAGTCCCCTAGTGGACTCTGTTACTTCACTGATATTTTGACGTTTCCCTCTTAATCGTTTCAGCAGTGTTGTTATTCCCCTGAATGACTTTGTAACTTCACCTACATTTTGTCGTTTCCCTCTTAATCGCCTCAGTAGTGTTGTTTTTCCAGCCTCGGTACATCCAACAAGTATTCCTCTGGCATGAAAAACAGTTGTCTTCTTCCTCAGAAACTCTGCAAAGCAATAAATAAAAACCATATATAATCATGATTTAATTTCTTTACATTTCAGCACAGAATACACATGACTACAGGGCTTCACATTAAGGCATGTCTGACTGACTCAGACTAGTAAAAGTTTGGTACGGTCTATTTTATTTTGCTTCAAGGTAGCTGCAGAACTATAGCTCTCTGGTTGAGAAAATTTGGACTGACAAACAAGTTCTATTCTAGTAATATTAAATGAGTCATTCAATAGTCTAAAGATATTAGGCCAGGACTAGTGAACGTGAGGTCAGAAAAAGTGAATTTGAGGTCAAGTCTAGTGAATTTGAGGTAAAGTCTAGTGAAGATGAGGTCAGGTCTAATAAAGATGAGGTCAGTACTTGTGAAGTTGAGGTCACGACTAGTGAAATTAAGGTCAGGTCTAGTGAATTTGAGGTCCAGTCTTTTAAGTGAAGTTGTTAGGATAACTAGTCTAGTTTGTTTTAAAGTTAATGTTGAGCCCTATAGCTGTTACTGATCAAAATAAAAATGCATTGAAGTCTCTTACTTTGGTAGCACTGGCATAGAGTAACCAGTGTTTTTTTTTCAGTACTTTGGGACTGGGGGCTGGGGCCCTCAGAATTGGGAATTTCAGCGTCAATTAGGCTAAATTTGGAATTTCCAAGAAAACCCAGTCATATAAAAAGCATTGTCAAAAAAACTTTGTTTTTGTCTTTGTATTACTTTAACAAACAATTGTTGTAACAAATCAAGACTATTCTTGGTATGAATTATCTAATTACTTATATCAAGAACAATAGTGGTACAAGTATTAGCTTTCCTAAAAAGCTTAATGTCTGACTTGAGCAAATTTATTTTTACGCAATGAATCAGGAAAAGTTAAATCCAGTGTAATCAACATGACTTTGAGTCATGAAATGAATTCTTTTGAGCACTAAGAAACAAAAAAAGTTCAGTTCAGAAACTTATTCTATCAGAGACGTGGTTCTATACACACTATATTACTTTTAAATTCTTTTTTTTCATGGACATAGGAACAGGGAAGAGGGGTAGGGTTGAGGACCATGAGCTCAATAATTTTGCCCATTTATAACATAGCTACTTTATGCTTGTGTCCCCTTAATCATGTAAATATTAACTTCGGATAATTTTTTTCATGCTCAATAAGGAATTTTTCCTTGATTGTGTCCACCCGAAACTGAAATTTATTCCAACGGGCCTGTCAATGAATAGAAAGATATAACCAGTGCTTTTGAAAGAAAAAGTTACAACACATAAAAATCTTAACATCAATTCAGGTGAACAATTTTGATAATTAAGAAATGTCTTATTGAAAAAAAAAAGAAGGGTTTCAAATGAGCTAATATCTTTGCATTTAATTTAAAGCAAAAGAATATTTAACATCTATCCTTCACTTTGATATTTTTTTTAACTATGAATAAATCAAAAGTCTGCAAGTTATGAATATGTGTAGATTTATAAAGGTAGAGGGACATAGTGTACTATGCATTGAAAATAAACATCCATTGGTTAATCTGATAAAGACAATCGCCACTGAAGTGTTGACCTGACCCGCTTCATTCCTTCTGTTTTGCTGGACATGAATGAGGCAATTTTCAAGAATGGCCAAATGCCATGTAACATGTAATGTATTTATAATGTGATAATAATGACATCAGCTCAGTTTGGGTGTTTAGCATGTTTCTATTACTCCACATCCTCTCCAATTGATAGTTAAGATAGTATGAAGTTTCCATCAAGTTATCACAAGAATTCTATTGAACGACTTGACCACCAAGCCTTGGCTAAATCTAGTACTGTCTGACGCCATGACGTCAGACAATGAAATATCTATAAATTATGAAGAAATCCAACATGGCTGAACAACAAAACCTGCTTGAACTTCACTGAAAAACATGCACTAAACAAACTGAAATTAATCACATATTTTGCAAGTTTTTCTTTGGGAAAACTTTCAATACATTTTGGGAAAATACAGGCATATTTTCAATCGGGACTGGGGCCGAATTTCGGCCCCAAATCAGCCCTAAAAAATCACTGGTAATTACTTGATCATGATGATACATGTGTTATGAATAATTTCAAACAACTTTCTTTTTTAATTTTAAGAATATTTTTTCAATCAAAATATTAAATATTGAGAAATTCAATGACCATGAAATTGAAATGGAATCAGGAAAACTTGCCCCAAAGACAAGAGTCAACACCAACATAGCCAATATGAAGACAACCCCAGGAATTTTTACATACTAATTCATATGTATTGAGATAAATATTCATACATATCATCATTTCTGTCTTAAAGTATATCATATTACATATAAATAATTTTTAAACATTTATAAAACCACTGTGACATTTAGGAACGAAGAAAATCTAGAAATTTTTAACACAAAGAATTAAAGATATTTACTGTATCTCAGGATTAACAAAGGGACAAATCACCATTAGAACTATGACTCAGGTAAAACACACACAAAATAGCTTTACTTTCTTATGACCCTGTTACAAAATGAGCTACATGTGTATTTGTTTGTTTATTGTTTCAACATCCCTCTCAAGAATTTTTCACTCATATGGAGACACCACCACTTGTGGATGGAGGGCTGTAAATTTATATCTTTGCTTGGCACTCAGGGCTATTGAGTGGTGAGGGTTCTCTTCCATGCCAACACCTACTGCGACACAGGACCTTGGTTTATACGGTCTCATACTAAGGGCTGGTCTCACGTCCAGCAGTAGATTGGTACCCACGACGTTAGGATCAACTCCTTACTCTGTGACTCTATAGCAGACATTCTAACCACTGCGCCACGCAGGCAACAGCTACATATGTGTGTTACACTAGTCTAAGAGTGGTTGTAACAGGGAACATACCAAACATGAACCATGCAGAGGTACTGTGAGCAAGCTCACAAATAACCTATGCTGCATTTTCTAAAGTGCCTATTTGCAATTTTGTAAGTGTGACCTTGAACTTGCCAAAATGACCAAAAATTTTACACATACTCTGGTCATCATGGTCATTAGTAATCTTTGAGTGAAATATGGACATCTAATGTTTTTTAATTAGAAAATTTTAATATGTCAAGAATTTTATAATTTATTCTGCCAGTGATCTTGAACTTGTCACTATTACAATGGGTCAAGGTTATGACACATTCCTCAGGTCATAAACAAACTTTGTACAAAGCATGATTCTCCATTACAAAGTTATAGCCCAGACAAGAGTTTTGTACTTTTTGTGCCAGTGACCTTGACCTTGCCTAGACAACCTTGCGTCAAAGTCAATGATCAAAAACACTCAGATATAAACAATCTTTGTACCAATTAAAAGCTTCCAATGATTCTCCATTTCAAAGGTATAGCTTGGAGAAGAGTTTTATACTTTTTCTTTTTGTGACCTTGAACTTGCAAGAATGACCTTGAATTAAGGTTGTGACACACCCTCAGGTCATAAAAAATCCAGCTTGTAACACGATATTTGATTGGTTAGCAAGCCGGGTGTAAATTATCTTGCACCTGGCTTGAGCAGAGTAAATAACATGACCTCACAATGCATAGTTTTTCTATCACAATTTTAAAGCAATTAATATGACGTCACGATGCATTGCAGCATGCATGTAGTAAATCTCATCTATAGTTTGAAACACCATTGATTGGAATTGTGTTTACAAAGAATTTATTTGTTTACATAGGAAATAAATTCATTATCCAGGTTCAATTAAGGGTGTACGAGGATTTAGCCTTACCCTCAGGGTGTATTGAATAAAACCCGGGGTAAATCCCCGTACACCATTGATTGGACTTAGATACATGTAACTAATAATGCATCCAATGGTTCTCCATTACAAAGTTACACACCATGGAAGACTGCACAGGCAGAGGGACAAGGTGATTCCTATACACCCCCCAACTTCGTTTACAGGTGACTGTGGTCATGGGGTCGTGTCTTAATTGTGTAATAAGGATTTTGAAAAGAGAGTTAATGTCAAATACCAGGGTACAATTTTTACTGTTTGTATTTAAACTCACCTAAACCATGTAACCTTCAATTGTTTTTAGTAAGCTATGAACTTGTTTGTACACTGGTATAAATTAAGTTCATGCAATGTTTGAATTATTCTCACAGATGCTTACTTTCACATATCAATATCATTAGAATGAATCACTTTTTCATTGCATTTCAAACAGGTCTTAACTAAAATTAAATAATTCTGAAATTTGGTTTTATTTTTAATCTGGCAAAAATTTTATGTAATATACATGTAGAATGTCAACTCAGTACACAGTGTAGATTTACTGAACACCTGCTACAGAAATACACAACGTTCCTGGACAGAGCTGTGTTAATATCAATGGTGTCTATATCTGTCAACTTGTACAAATTGTCATCTGTTAAAAGCCTGTAAAATATTGTACAGTATAGTCACTGTCCATTGTATTTTGCTTGAATGGAATACTGAAAGAACCATATATCAACTATCATTAAGAACTATGACACTGACCCCTCCAAACCCCTAATCTCCAATACCCCCACCCCACACACACCCCACCCCACACACCTCACCCTACATACATCACCCTACACACCCCACCCATTTTACAACTGTACTGATATACATTTTCTGACATTTCTAGTGATCCATAAAGTTAACCTACAAACCAGACAACTGTACTGCTATTCATTTACTCACTTTGTCAGTGCCTCCTATAAAATTATGATGTCAACCCAAATAGAAGACAAAATCAATGAGAGTCATTAAACATATCCTTAACCAGTCAGAGAACATTATACATTGTAGTGTAGGACAGAATCTATGTCAAGTCTGATCTGAACAAATCAGTTGTTTGTCAACCATAACAAAGTTATAAACTAAACCAAGTACACATTATAAGAACTCTTAATTAATTAAATAATAAGTATATTATCTCAAAATGATATACTTTAGTTATAAATTACAGTTTATAATTTATATACCTTCATCATAGAAATATTTCTTGTTACTTAATGCAACAAGTTAGAACTGAATTAACCATGTAATGTAATTACTCTAAAAACAATGAATATAATTGTTCATTAATGTCTTGTAATTACATATAAAACAATGAATATAATAATTATTGTTCATTAATGTCTTGTAATTACATATAAAACAATGACTATAATTGTTCATTAATGTCTTGTAATTACATATAAAACAATGACTATAATTGTTCATTAATGTCTTGTAATTACATATAAAACAATGACTGTAATAAATTGTACACACTAAATATTGTTAAACAAAACACATACTTTAGTATAACTTACCGGTCAGGGAGTCTTCATGTATAAGTCTGTAGATGTTCACTGTGTTGTTGTTCAATGATCCCACCCAGACACAGTTAGTGTTGTCATCATAACTCAGGCCCCGTGGTCCGTCTATCCCGTGTTGTCGTGTCTCTATCTGCGACAGGAATCTCCCATCACAGTCCAGTATCTGTACTGAGCAGGTGTTATAATCACACACCAGGATGTGTGACAGCACGTCAGTACAGATTCCACGTGGTCGTAGTCCTGATCCTGATGGAGGTCCTGTGTAGGAGAAGCGGTGTCTACCTACACCATCTGTCACCACTACAGCATCACGCCACAAGTCAGACACAATAACATCTCCATTGCGGTTCTCTGTGATGTAGTAAGGATAACTATACAGTCCCTGACCTGTGTTGTTGTCGTGCTGTATGGTCTGTATGTGTTGTCCTGTGTTAGTGTAACGGTTTACCTGGCCTGTATCTGTATCATCATTATACATCCCCACCAGCAGGTCTCCAGTGGAGGGGGAGCTGTAGACACACCGTGGTTCCCATGGTGCTGTGTTGTACTTTATTAATGTAGACTTTACTCTGTGATCTGTAGACAGTTTGTTGATGTTACTGTGACTGTCTATATAAATTAAATCACCGTCCCGAGTCACTGTGTGTACTCCTCTATAACCACTACCTATACCTGTCAGATGATGTAGTTTATCACCTGCTGTGTTTGTCAAGATGAGATTGTTACTATAACCACTGATCCAGACCCGGTCTGTTGATACACGGGAAATGTGATCACATACACTAACACCTGTCACTGTGACAGACTTCTGTAACACTAATCTATACATCGTTGACAGCAGACATTTATTTCATCTTTATCCTGTGGTTTCAGAATCCCGTGTTGATTTCCTCAGTCAGGGAGATTTCTCTGTAAATTACAACATTGTGTTAGAATTATCTACATCAAAAACAGGGCTCTCTTTACAATATTCTCATTTACCAATGTATTGATTTTAAGAACTTACAGAATAGAATAGAATTAAGACCCAGATAAACATAAATACCTTTACACTGGGTGCTGAATGTTTACAATGTCTCAATGAATAGCAGCCTCCAAGTGTTCTCAATCAAACCTGTCTAACAAAGCAATATTTATAAATTAAAACACATATATAAATTGTGAAATACTGGAGGACTTTTAAGAATCTTGTAGGTGATAATATGAAAGCATTTGAAACATTACATTCTCCTACATTGTATTTACAGTCCAGTGAGTCAACTTAATAATTTACAGAAGAATTATCATGATAAACCCTGTCTTCTTACAAATATTAATTCATAAGTTACAAGGCTGTGCAGTATTAAATATAGATTTTCTTAATATATGCCACACTCTATATTTAAGCCTGACCTATAGTGTGATTTAACACAGTTAATATATATATATAACAGAGAAATGTTTACCACATCAATTTCTTCTAGCTGGTAACCACTAGTTTGTTCTTTTCATCTTGTTTCTTTGTCCTAGTGAGTAAAAAAAAAAAAACAAGGGACATTATTATTTATCACTCTTACAAAAACATATTTCATTTACCTTATTTTAATTATGAGAAAATCATGTCTATTTTTTGAAATTACAAAATTCAAATCATGATAGCTTTAATTTTGATTGTTTGTTAAAAAAAACAAGAACAAAACATATACATCTACAAATGTACTGCATTTACTTTTATAGTTTAGGCCAAAAAAATCAATTTTTAGTTTCTCAGGCCAAAAGTTCAATGCAGCAAGCAGTTTTTTCTTCTTTTTTTTAAAGGTTTTATCTGAATCTTTTCTCTTGTCAGTCAACAAAATGATGATATCAACGTCTTCTTACTTTTTGTACTCTTATGTTAATTATTATATAGATTCAACTTAAATTAATTTTAGTCCAAACATTTTAATAAGGAGTTAATCTATAAAATACCGTTTTTACAAGAAATACATTGTGTATATAACAAGATGCCCATGGACCACAGCGCTCAACTGAGTCAATATGGCCCTGCTGTTCTTCATCAGCAGATTTTTTCTATTATATATCCCTAATGTGTAAAACTTTGATCCCCCACTGTGACCCCAACCTACTCCCAGATGTCATGGTTTGAGCAAACTTGAATCTACACTATCTGAGGATGCTTCCATATTCATATGACTTATCATGGCTTTGCTGTTCTTAAAAAAAAGATTTTTAAAGATTTTTTCCTATATATCCCTATGCTAAACTTTGATAGCCCATTGTGGACCCACCCTACCCCCGGGGGTCATCATTTGAACAAACTTAAATCTGCACTACCTGAGGATGCTTCCATATCAATATGACTTATCATGGATTTGCTATTCTTGAAAAGAGGATTTTTGTATGATTTTTTCCTATATATTCCTATGTTAAAGTTTAATCCCCTATTGTGGGTCCACACTACCCCCTGGGGTCAAGATTTGAACAAACTTGAATCTACACTACCTGAGAATGCTTCCATGTCAATATGACTAATCATGGCTTTGCGTTTTTTTGAGAAGATTTTTAAAGATTTTTTCCTATATATTCATATGTAAAACTTGGATCCTCCCTTGTGGCCCCATCCAACCCTTGGGGGTCATGATTTGAACAAACTTGGATTAACACTAACTGAGGGTGCTTCCATATCAATATGACTTATCATATTGTTGTTGAGAAGAAGATTTTTGAAGATTTTTTCCTATATATTGCTATGTAAAAATTTGATCCCTCATTGTGGCCCCACCCTACCCCCCGGGGTTATAAATTTAAGCAAAATTGAATCTATGCTATGTCAGGAACCTTTCACGTAAGTTTCATCTTTTTTAGCCCAGTGGTTCTTCAGAAGATTTTTAAATGACCCCACCCAATTTTCACTATTTCTTAATTTTCTCCCCTTGAAAGAGGGCATGGCCCTTCATTTGAGCAAACTTGAATCCCCTTTACCCAGGGATGCTTTGTGACAAGTTTGGTTGAAATTGGCCATTGGTTCTGAAAAAGAAGAAATTGTGAAAAGTTTACAGACGAATGGACGGACAGACAGCTAGATGGATGATGGACAAAATTTGATCAGAAAAGCTCAATCAGGTGAGCTAATAAAACCGTATTTTATTAGCATGTATGAAAAGGGGAATAACTCAATTTTCTTTTTCTGCTTGGAAAAAATAGAAAATTGAGTTATTTCCCTTTTCAATATGTCAATAAAATTGATCAATGCGGCAATGTTTGACCTGATGCAGTGGTGCCCGAGGAACTATTGACTAATTTTATTTTGGCCTTATGAACTTTTGCATGTGAAGGAATTATGATAACCTGTAAGGTGGTGATTTCTTCATCCTCTTAATAACTGCTCAGCACATCCTGGGGAATCTGTCAAAACAAATTCAGAACATTAACCTATATACAAGTATATAATCGCCTTGTCAAACACTATACATGCAGAAGTACATGTACAAATAATGCTGTTGCTGGGTATGTTTTGATTACAAGTATCTTAATGCTTACATAAGGTCAAAGTAATATGCCTCTTGAACAGTACAACCAAGGTCATAGTCTCATAAACTTTGAAATTGATCTATGAATATGTCCATAGAAAATGAATGTCCCATCCAATGATAAGTGAATCAAGAGGCCCTTGGGCTGCAATGCTCACCTCAGTCACAGTACCAATGCTGTTCTTCAGAAAGAGATTTTTCTCCCCTCTATTTTCCAACACTTTTTTTTACCCGATGTTATTGCCTCATACAATCTCTGGGGTCATAATTTAAACAATCTTCAATCTGCATTACCTGAAGTTGCTTGGCTATTAAAAGCAGAAATAATCATGCCTAGACTATTCTTGAGATAAATTTTAATTAAATATTAATTACAATTAATTTAAAGTTTTTCCCCATATATTCCTACACAAAATTTTTATACCTGAAACAAATATTCTTCAGAATACTTGCATATTATATTAATCCAAGATTTCTTCCTATATATTCTGATATTTGAATCATGGCCCTGCTGTTCTGAAGAATGTTCTCTCTCTCTCTCTCTCGCTCTCTCTCTCTCTCTCTCTCTCTATATATATATATATATAATCATAAAAGAAAAAGAAAATGCACAGTTTCCAAATTTCATTCCATTCATTTTCTTTTTCTTCTATGATTACTGTATGTGTACTTAAAAAAGAGGGCTTCATATTTTAGCGGCTTTAGCAGGGACATCATTGCACTAATTCATGGATACCGCTAAGAAATTATTTATAAATACAATATACGGCACGGACATGCGTAGCGCTAATTCATGATTACGCCAACAACACCATACCCAGTGATTGAGCTAAATTTTGAATCCGCCAATTTAAGTATACGTACAGTATTTTTAATGTGTGACATCATCTTATAACTATTTTTGAATTATATATATATATATATATATATATATATATATATATATATATATATATATTCCCATATAGAATGTGTATCCTCTATTGAGGCCCCATCCTACCCTCCCCCCACCCCCATTATATGTGAAGAATTGGTTATGCACTGAAGATATTTAAATATTATTAGTTCATATCATGGCCAAGCTGTTCTTGTGCAGATTTTTAAAGTTTTTTCCAATATATTTCTATGTAAAACTTTGATCTCCTATTTTGGAAACCCTACCCCCAGGGGTCCTGATTTGAACAAACTTGAATATACACTATGTCAGGAAGCTTTCATATAATTTTTCTTCTTTCAGCTGAGTGATTCTTTAAGAAAAGATTTTTAAAACAAACTGGCAAATTTTCACAGAGTATTATCTTCATTTGAAAGAGGGTGTGGTTAAGCATTTGATCAAACTTGAATCCCCTTCACCAAAGGATATTTTGTGGCAAGTTTGGTTGAAACTGGCAAAGTAGTTCTGAAGAAAAAGTCAACTAGAAATATGTCCATGGGACATGAATGCCCCCCGAGGGTATATTAGTAATGCAACATGAAAATTTGTATTAGTGTATGATGTTTGATGACAATATCTTATATAGTTTCTTTAAAATTGAAATTGAAATCTAAAAAATAGGATATAGATGATAAATTCTCATGAAATTATGTACAAGAGCATAAGCTTACATAAAAATATCTGAAATGGTTTCTTTAAAACTAAGCAAAATGCAAATTTAAGAAAAGTGAGGTCAAATCACAGGAAAGGTCAAGGTCAACAGTTTTTGATGCAGTTGAATAGCTCTCACTAATATGTATCAGCATGTTAAATTTGATATAACTTGAATGGTTTCATTAAAACTGAGCTAAACACTAATTTAAGAAAAGTGAGGTCAAGGTCAAAAGTGAGGTCAAGGTCAAAAGAAAGGTCAAGGTCAAAAAATGTTAACGCAGTTGAAAAGCATACATCAGTATGTATTAGCATATGAAGTTTGATAAAAATTTCATGAATGGTTTCTTTAAAACTGACCTAAACACTAATTTAAGAAAAGTGAGGTCAAGGTCAAAGAAAAAGTCAAGGTCAATAAACGTTGATGCAGTTCAAAAGCATACATCAATATGTATCAGCATATGAAGTTTGATAACACTATCTTGAATGGTTTCTTTAAAACTGAGCTAAACACTAATTTAAGGAAAGTGCGGTCAAGGTCAAAAAATGTTGATGCAGTTAAATAGCTTTCATCAAAAAATGTTGATGCAGTTAAATAGCTTTCATCAAAAAATGTTGATGCAGTTAAATAGCTTTCATCAATATGTATCAGCATTTGAAGTTTAAAAATATCTTGAATAGTATCTTTGAAACTGAGCTAAATGCAAAGTGTGACAGAAGGACAGATGGAAGGAC